AGAGGGAGAAGCAGGCCTCCCGCGGAGCAGGGAGCCCGATGCGGGGCTCAATCCCAGGACCCTGGGATCATGACCTGAGCCAAAGGCAGACGCTTAACAATTGAGCCACCCAGGCGCCCCAATCTGTCTCACTTCTGAGAACTCATCGTCCCCTACACACTTCCTCTCAGTCTGCCCAACTTAGGCCTCCACTCTCCTGAGCCCCCGATAGGGTGATAGGAAGTAATTACAAAGTTAGCAGGGAGAAGACCTCTGTTCCAGTCCCAGCTCTGCCATCTGCTAGCTCTGTGGCCACAGACAAGTTGCTCAACCTCTCTGAGCCACAGTTTCTTCCTCTGTAAAGAGAGTGTGTTTGCTATTGCTGTGTAACAAACAAGCACAAACAGCACTCATTTGTTAGATCACAGTTCTGTAGGTCAGAAGTCTGGAGGGCTCAAATCATGGACAAATTAAGCCGTGTGCCAGGCAGGGCTCTCATCTGGAGCTTCAGAGCAAGAATCTTCTTAGCTCATTCGGGTTGTTGGCAGGATGCAATACCTCACAGTTGTAGGACCGAAGTCTGTATTTCCTTGCTGGTTGTTGGCCAGGGGACCCTCAGCTCCTTCAGGCTGCCCACATTCCTTCTCATGCATGTTACCCTCCCCATCTTCAAGCCAGCAAATATGTGTCCAGTCCCTTCATCCCCTTTGTATTTGCAGTCTCTCTCACTTCACATTCTGCCACCAGACAGGGAAAGTCTGCTTTTAAGAGCTCTTGTGATTCCTTTGGGCCCACCCAGATAATCCAGGACACTGTCCCCACTTGTGGACAGCTGAGCCATGTAAGATAACACAGTCATGGGAGTGATCTCTCATTATATTCACAGCTTCCAGGGATTAAGATGGGACATTTTTGGGGGAAGCCCATTTAGAAATTTGTCTGCCACAGTGGGCATGATACTGTCTACCATGGAAAGTAAGATCAGTTAAACCGGAAATGCAGTGGACACGGTCAACATTAATGCTCTTGTGCTTCAGCATTAACCTGTGGGAGATGGCAGAGTTCTTGCTGAAACAGGATGTGGTCAACGCCATCAACCTGGATGGAGGGGGCTCCGCCACCTTCGTGCTCAACGGGACCTTGGCCAGTTACCCATCAGATCACTGGTAAGCATGCCAGAGCCCCCTTCTTGAGGTCTAAATCCAGGCCTGTCCTCACCTGTCTCACTCAACAAATACTGAGCACCTACTATGTGCCAGGCCCTGAGGATTCAGCCGTGAGCAGGAGAGCCAAGATCCCTGCCTCTCAGTGCTTACAGGAAGAGAGTTGAATCATACATGCTGTACCAGTACCACCCACACCAAGAAAAGGGGATTGATAGGTCAGGAAAGACCTCTCTGAGCATAATGGAACCTGAGCTGAGATCTGAAGATTGAGAAGGTAGCAAGGCAGGGCCAGGAGAACCTTCTGGGCAGTGAGAACAGCATACGTAAAGACCCTGGGGTTGGAAGAGATTGTCAGGGTGAGAAGAACCTGTAAAAGACTGAGGAAGGGGCAGTGGAGAGAGAGGCAGCCCTCGGGGGCTGTAATAGGGGATAGGAGGGGTCCGCTGGGGATGGTCAGTGCCTTCACACACTGTGTCCCTCTCCCCCCCCCCCCCCGCAGCCAGGACAACATGTGGCGCTGCCCACGCCGCGTGTCTACTGTGGTATGTGTGCACGAGCCCCGCTGCCAGCCGCCTGATTGCAGTGGCCACGGGACCTGCGTGGAGGGGCGCTGCCAGTGCACGGGGCGCTTCTGGCAGGGCGCGGCCTGCAACAAGCTGGACTGTGGCCCCTCCAACTGCAGCCAGCACGGGCTTTGCACAGAGAGTGAGTGGGGTCTCTGGGGCGGCAGCTGTGACTGGGGCTCCCAGCCCTCACTGCCCGGCCCTGCCTGGGCCCCTCACCTGGCCTCCTTGGTCTTCTCTTGGCAGATGGCTGCCGCTGCGAAGCTGGTTGGACGGGGTCCAGCTGCGGTGAAGGTAAAAGCCACCAGGCCCCCACCCCTGGCCCCATAGGGAGAGGGGAGCGTGGCAGCTGCCTTTACCCCCTCCTGTTTCTTGCTCCTGCCTGACTGTAAATCACTGCATTAGTCTCCTGCAGCAGCCACAACAAATTCCACAAACTTACGCTGTCGCAGTTCAGGAGGCCAGAACTGCAAAATCAAGGTGTCTGCAGGGCCCGCACTCCCTCTCAAGGATCTAGGGGAGGCTCCTTCCTGCTCCTTCCAGCTCCCGGTGGTTCCAGGCGTTCCTTGGCTTGTGGCCACGTCACTCCGCTCTCCACCTCCGTCTTCGCATGGCCTTGCCCCTGTGTGTCTGTCTCTCCATTCCCTTACGCAGACCCCAGGTCATTGGATTTAGGGCCCACTCTAAATCCAGGTGCCCTCACCTCTTAAGATCTTCACTTAATAGTATCCGCAAAGACTCCGTGTCCAAATGCGGTCATTTTCACAGATTCTGAGGATTAGGACACAATATTCTTTTGGGGGGACACAGTTCAACCCCCTGCAGCCATCCACAGTTTCAAATCCTTCAGGGCTTTCTTTTGAGTAAGTGAAAGGAATAAACCCCTCAGCCTGACCTGCCAGGTGCTGCAGCCCCTCCCTGACTCACTGACCCAGCTCTGCTCCCCCAAACCCCAGCTTAACTGCCCTGTGCCCAGGGGCCTGCCTACCCCACCCCCTCCAGCGGTCTGCTGCTGCCGCACTTGTCCCCATCTGTACGTCCACGTCTGCTTTCTGGCTCACTGGCCACCTGCCCATCTAGACAGGAAGCTCCAGGAGGACTCAGCCTCAGGGCCTGCCTTGAAGTGGATTCTCCATAACTTTCTGTTGGAAGCATATGTGAATCTACGGGGCCACTTGGGGTGACAGAGTTCTGTTTGCTGTCTTGTTGGCCCTCGCCTAGGCGGGGCGGGGCTGGATTTTGAAATGACTCCCCTTTCCCCATGCCAGCTTGCAGCAACGGGTCCTTCGGGGAGGCCTGTGCCATGAAGTGCCAGTGTCAGAACGGAGCTGCCTGTGACCCGGTCCGAGGGACCTGCACCTGTCCTCCTGGCTTCACCGGAGACACCTGTGGGCAGGGTAAGCTAGATGGGCCCCAAGCCAGCTGGGAGGAAGCGCCAGGGGCACCTCCAGGATCTAGCCTGGGGGGACCCCGGGGGGCACTTCTGCTTCAGCCCAGCTCTGCACACACCTGGGGCCCGTTCCGTCCGTGCAGAGAGAGGCCCTGCCACTGAGGCCTCCACTTCTTCCTCCTCTCCACAGAGTGTCCTCTCGGCTGGCACGGGCCAGGCTGCCAAAGGCCTTGCGAGTGTGAGCACCAGTGTCCCTGTGACCCCCAGACTGGCAACTGCAGCCTGGCCCAGGCACCAGCCCTTAACAGCATCCTCTCCCAAGGTATGGCTCCTCCCAGGCCCCTGGGGGGGCAGGAGGGGGCACACCCCTCCCCTCCCAGTGTGTCAGCCTCTCTCTGGTCGTTTACAGTGAAGCAGTGTCTCCAGCCATCCAAGACCACCCTAAGAACAGGAGAACTGTCCCTTCTCACCGGGTAGGAGATTTGGTGGGACTTGGGGTGGGGATGGGAGGAAATCCCCCCTCCCTCCACCTGCGAGGTATGGCCTCTGCTCAGGGACTCAGCAAGGCTAGAAGGTGGTAGCAGGGCACCCAGGTGACATTTCCCCAATGTAAGCACAGGGAGATGCTCATAGCTGATGCTCACAGACACCGAAGCGGCCCTGGGAGGTGGGGACAAGAACCCTGGTCACCGCCCCAGTGGGAGTCGAGGGGCCAGGGCATCGGACTCCTTTCCCTGTGAGACTCGCAACTTATTTTCTCAGTACCTGGTGCCTGGTACAGAAGTGCCAAGCCCCAAGGAACTCACATCATTTCTCAAGTACCACTATGTGCTCCTTGTGGTGGGCTTTATCTCTGTTTTCTAGTGCAGTGGGTCTCAAACTTGACCTCTGGTAGGGGGTACTGAAAGAGATTGCTGGGTCCTTTCTCTGGAGTTTCTGCTTCAGTAGGTCTGGGGTGCAGCCTGAGAATCTGCATTTCCAGTGCTATCCCAGGTGATGCTAATGCTGCTGGTAGGGAGACCCCACTTTGAGAACTTCTTTTCTTGTAGTTCTCACCTCATGGCCCAGCCCTGGGTGCCAGCCCAGCCCCACCCCCATTGGAGGTGGGAATCAGGTGTGGGTATGAGTGAAAAGTTCCTGGCGATGTCCTAGAGGACAGTCTCATCATTAATAATGCAGATCCCAGGTCCCTCCTGGAGGTCCTGACTCAGTGAGCCTGGGGTGAGGCTCTGAAGGCCCAGAACCACACATGAAGAAAACCCTTGGCAATGTGCTTTGAAAATGCACCCAGAGCAGGGACAGTAGCTCCCAGGAGTGCCCTGCCCCCCGTCTTAAGTTCAGGCTCCTCAGGTGTGAGACCTTGAGCCCCTCCTCCCCAGTGCAGACCTGGATCCCACTGACAGCTGCCAGGCAGGGAAAGGGAGCCATGGGGGGCTGACGAGCATGCCCCTGCCCCCAGCAATATGCTTGTGTCCGCTTTTGTGTTGAGGGCTTCAGCCAAAGATTCACATGAAGGAGGAAAAACAAGGATCATTGAAAGACCCCGCCAGCTCTGCAGGAGGGAGGAAGGGGTGCAGTTCTCCCTGCTCTATCTGCTTTGAGGTTTCTGGAACATCCCCTGGAGACCAGGATGCAAACTGATGCCTCTTGGGGCATCATTAGATCCCCAAGTGTATTTTATTTGGCCTGCAGAATTTAAAAAAAAAATTAAGATTTATTAGCAACATCTGAAAATCAGTAACAGTCATGTTAAAAAAAAAAAATTTGTGGTTTCTCTTGAAATATCAGGAGATGTGGCAGGGCTGGCCTGCATGCCACATAGTGACTCACTACTGCTCCCCGAATGTGTGTCTGGAGGCCCCCAACACTGCCACTGTTGTGTGGGAGGGAGGGAGGGAAACCCTTCCCCTCCTGCCCAACAGCACTGCCCAACAAACCCCTGTTGAGGCTTTCTCTTCTGCACCCAGGACCACCTGGCTAGCCCTCACCCTGGGCCTAGTTTTCCTTCTGCTGATCAGCACAGTGGTGAACGTGTCCTTGCTCCTTGGCTCAAGAGCAGAACGGAGCCGGCACCTGGATGGGGCCTACGTTTACCACCCACTGCAGGAGATGAATGGGGAGCTCCTGGCCACGGAGAAGGAACAGCCGGGTGATGCCCACAGCCCCTTTAAGGACTGAAGCCTCCAGCCTGCTCTGAAGGCTCGTTTCGACACGGTCTGATTTCTGCAAGGGAAATTTCAAGGCCACTGATCATCTGGGTGATCTCAGCCCCCGTGCCAACCCAAGCTTCTGACAGCACCTGTGCCTCAGCCCCTCAGCTGGCCCCGGGCCCTCACCTGGTCGCCTGCCGTGACACATGCAACCCTAGCAATACCGTGCTCCCCAGAGAGAGACTGCGTCCTTCCCTGCCTGCCTGTGTCTGCTGCCTGTGAGGCCTCCCCCGAGGGCCTCCCGCTGCCAAAGAGCCTCTGGCCTCCCGAGGCCGGGGCCGCTAGCGATGGAATGCACCGTGACCGCACCATGACCAAATGGCAGGGTCCAGCCAGCCCCCCTGGACAGGGATGGATTACAGAGATGAGGGCCGTGTCATGGGACCCTTTTGTACAGACCTCATCACAGAATTTGCCAATTAGAACTCTTATTTCCTGTCACAGGAAGCTCCTTAGAAGGGGGGGATGAAATCATGTTTACAAGCTTTCTATTTTGGTATCCTGCCGCCAAGAGAGGCTTTTTATCACTTGAATAAATTGATGTAATTAAAGGAGCCCCCGGGTGGCATCTGAAGCCTGAATTGTGGATTTCTGGGTGTACCTAGGTCTTAACGGGTGGGGTTGCTTCACCTGAATCCGGGGTCATAAACAGGCAGCCCAGAGCACATCCAGCTCCCTGATCTCTTTCTTTGATCCAGGGTTTCTCCCTTTGTGGTGTACACAAGTCACCTGGAGATCTTGTTAAAATGCAGATCCTGGCCCGGGGTGGGGTACAAGATTCTGAATCGCTAACGAGCTCCCAGGTGAAGCTGAGACTGGGGGGCCTGGACCATGTTTTGAAAGGACAAGGTTTAGTCCGCACCATGACTTAATGGAATTTAAAGTAGTTACCAGCGTTTAAAAGTCAAGAGAGAAACAATATCAGATTTCTGACTTCTTTTTAAAAGAGGGTGAGCCCGCAGCCCCTGCCAATGCCCCTCCAGGGCAATGACTTGTCAGAGATGAGAATCCGCAGTCCCTGTCTGGGCCTGCCTTCTCCAGGTCATCGGAGCCCCCAGCGGTCTGTGGCCTGCCATCCCTGTGAGTATCTGAGTTTATAACCCGTGGCCGTGAAGTGTCTTCAGGAAGTGCCTGGTAGCCCCCCCTCCCCATGAATGTATGTTACACTGTGCTTAGCAGATCTTTGGGATGAGAGATGAGGGAGGTCCTGTCGCTCCCGGCAGGTCCTCAAAGAGGCTCGTGCACGTTATGAACTGAATGTGTCCCCCACCCCCCAAGATTCCTATGTTGAAGCCCTAACCCTCTCCCCTTCCCCCCCACCCAGGTGATAGTATGAGGAGGTGGGGCCTTTGGTTTAATTAGTTTTCGTTGAGGTTGTGAGGGTGGTTCCCTCATGATGGGATTAGCGCTCTTGCAAGGGGAAGAGATGAGAGAACACCCACTCCACACACGCACAGAGAGGAGGCCGTGTGGACAGGCAGCAAGCTGGCAACTGACTACAAGCCAAGATGTGGGCCCTCACCAAGAACTGAATTTGCCAGCACCTTGATCTTGGACGATGAGCCTCCAGAACTATGAGAAATAGATGTCTGTTGTTTATAAGCTGCCCAGTGTATGGTATTAGTCACAGGAGCTTGAGCAGGCTAAGACACATGGTATAACTTATTAGCTATCTCGTACTCCATAACTAGTCCAAAACTTGGGTGCTTAAAACAACCACCAGGTACTGCTTCTTCTGAAAAATAATTATTTTTCGTGATTCTAGGGTCAACTAGGTGATTCTGTTGATGTGGGCTGGGGTCAGTGATCTCAGCTGAGCTCACTGGTATGTCTGCAACAGCTAATGGGCCCACTGGGATGGGCTGGTCTGAGATGGCCACAGCTGATGAGGTAGCTCCCCCTGGTGCCTCATCCTCCAGGAGGCTGGTTTAGGCTTGGGATCCAGGTGGGGACGGGGATCCTGGAAGAGAAGCATGCAAGGCCTTTTGAAGCTTTGGCTCAGAACTGGCGTGACCTCACTTCCACCGAGTTCTGTCAGCTGGTCCACAGGACCCCCAGATTCAAGGTGAAAGGACACACACTCCACCCCATAGTGAGAGGAGCTGCAAAGAGGCCTGGGTCCACGAGGCTAATCGAGCCCATCCTGCAGTCTATCTGCTGCCCTGCTGGCCCAGTTTCACTTCAGAAAGGAAGAATTTGGTTCTGAGAAGTGAAATGTCACAGGCCAGTTTCCCAGACTCCCAAGAGCCTGCAGGAATGTGTCTGTGGGTCTGCATGTCTTTCTGTCTCTCCCCCTGAAGTTGAGAGCCGCTGAGCCAGCCTGTGATAGTCCCTCCAGGGTGCTGTGTTTTGGTCCTGCAGTGGGAGCCACAGGCCAAGTTGTTGGTATCCTTGGGCATAGTTGATCCTACACCTAGTGAACCATCACCCAAAGTTCACGCTACCCACGGCCAGGCGCCTGTCATTTCTACTTCCTAACTCGGCCCCTTTTCTGGGCCTGTGACCCAGGTTGGAGGGAAGGGAGAGGTGGCGTTCACAGCATGTCCAGGAACTTGAGGGCGGCTGCTTATCCAAGGAACTAGGCAAACACTTCACGTTGTAATTCCTCCTTCCAGAAATGGAAACAACCAAGTTCACATGTTCCTCCAGGGACCTTGTTTTCAACTCTACCTGGAAGTCTCATTCTGTGTTTTGCTCTCTTGTAGTGAACAGCTGGTCCCTGGGCTGCTTTGATGTTTTGCTCCCAGTGTTCAAGGGTAGCAAGTAGTGACAAGAGCTGGGAGGACTTCCCAGACACCATTGAATCATGTTGGCATATTCCTGAGACACAGTTCCTGAGCCCGGCTGCAGGTCAGAGTGTATTCCCCAGGAACGTTGTATTATTGCAGAGGTCCAGATCCTGTCCCAGGCCCATCGAATCAGAATCTCAGGGGCAGGGGGCCTGGGAATCTACAGGGAGCACCTTCAGGGGTTCTGAGGCAATGGGCTGTAGAAACCCTTGTCCTGGGAGCTCTGAGCTCTGCAGAGGGCATCTCTGTCTGTCCTTGGCTGGGCTGGCAGCTGAGCTGGGAGGTTAAGGTGCTGTGCATGGGTCTGGTGGATTTCAGGCCGGAGGGAGCTCAAGAGGGTCCATCGTGGTGTGCTGGAAGGGTCCCTGGTCCAACGACTAGGATAATTCACCCTCCCTTGTTTGTATAGGGGTATCTATCATGCCTGCCCAACACCCAGGCCCTCTTTTTTTAGTAAATGCCCTGTCTTTGGCTGGATCCCTTCCAGCAGCAGAACCTGAGATAAGGATGTGAGGGCAAGTAGTTTATTTGGGAGGTGACCCCAAGAAGCCCTGGTGGGGGGCAGGGAAGTGAGGTAGGGAAGGAAAGGCAGCCAGTACACAGTGCATTAGTGAGCAGCTCCCCACTGTGGGCAGCCAGGCTCCATCGCCTGGGGTCTCTGGGACAATGCAGAGAACATCTTGGGGTTTTGCCTCTGGTGGGGTGTTTGTCAGCCAACATGCTGTCATTGTGGGGTGGAGGCTTCTCCTGGGGGTTAACTCCTTGGCTTGTCTAGCCTGCCCTACACAGAGGCTGAGTGTACTTCAGCAATCAGAGGTAACCACCAAAAACTTGCAGTTTCTTGCATCCAGACGCCTCCTGGTGGTAATGAGAATGCCCAGCGAAGGTGCGCAGGACACTGAGAGCCACGGCCATGAGCCTCCCTCCCATTGCCTTTAGGGCACTACCTCTCCCCCATTCTCTATCCCTCTGGTTTGGCTGGTACCATCTCTTCAAGTACCAGATGGCATGAATAAATGGGTCGGAGATAGTCCCCTGTCCCAATTGGTTCACCAGAGCCCACCCTGGAATTTGGGGAAAAACACTTTGCTGAGATTGTCCACCTGCCAGGGTGTGGGCTACATGGAGAAGGAGAGTGAAGCCAATGTGGAGAAGAACCAAATCAAGACAAAAGGGGGACATCATTTAAGCCCCTGGATCCAACTGTACCTGAAGCCGGTAGCATTCTTGGACCAATTACACGGACCAGTAAATCCCCATTTTTGCTTGAGGCACTTTGTGTTGGATTTGAGGTCTCTGGTAACCCACAGAGTCTAACACTCATACTGTTCGAGGAGAGGCACATTTTGGACTCGGGCATTTGCGGATGGGGCGTAGAGCAGCGGCAGAAAGGTGTTTTGAGATTCTGACACTTACCTCTGGTGGTGGGTAGGGACACGTGTTGACACATATATACAAGAGCTCGTCATCAAGCTTTGGGGTTGGTAGTCAGGGATTAATATGAACTAATTATTGTGGTGCAAGAATCCCCTCCCCACCTTGTGGTAGTGATGGAAGACCCCTGGGCACAGAATGTGGACCAGATGTCTTGGTGGCCTGACTTGGAACCTCCAGAGTCCTGTTGCCATGGTAACAAGGGGCTGTTGGGATGCTCTTTATAAAACTTGAGCATCAGGAAAGTCCCCAGAAAAAGGTTCAATCCTGGGCTTAATGGGTGGGCTTTCCAAGGCTCTTAGGAGCCCTGATACGGGAACATTCCAGTGTTATGCCCAAAGTTTTCCTTGGATTTGCAAAGGGGTCTGTGTCTCAGAAAACTTTGGGCTCCAGGAAACTCTTAAGTCAGAGGTTTCAAGTTATGCTTTTTGGGGATCCCCGTTCCTTGGGAATGCCTTGGTGGGGGAGGGGAGGCACTGAAGTGGGGAGAGGGGGAAATGATCTGAAGAGAAGTTTGAAAGCCACAGCCACCTTTCATGTCCCTGAGAGCTACCTGGCACTTTTCCTTTCGACTCTTTCCAGGCCCTGCCCAAACTCCAACAGCAGCTAGTGCTCTGAGACCTGCCTCCATGGAGGCCCCAGCAGTCTGCTTTGGACCTGGGCCCTGGCCTCAGAGGAAGAACTGGTCCCAGAGGCAGCCTCTGGGCCACAAGGGAGCCCTAGTGTGATTTGCCCTCTCTGGGCCCCTCAAACCCCAGGAGGCTTCTGGGGAGGCGATTCTGCCCAGGACAGACGTCAGCAATAACTCATGGCTCAGACCTGATCCTAGTTGGCCTGTCCCAGGGACCTCTGTCTTTCTCAACAGCCACCACATGCTGGCTGGTCCTTTGAGAGCTCTTACCCACAGTTGCAGAGAAATCCATGGAAAAGTCCCAGAGAATGAATGCACACACTGTACCAAAGCAGGCAAGGGCTGCTTCCTCTCCCTCATTTGTATGTGTTGGGTGGGGCTGGGTAACCAAAGCCAGTGTGGATAGGGGGCCCTAGAGCAGTCACACAAAGAACCACACCTCCTCTGCTCCCCCAAGTGACAGTCCTTGGCCTTCTGCTCCAAAACAAGAGAGCCTTTTCAGAACCGCATGATGTGCATGGCAGGACCCCTGCTCTGTGTCCCAAGGAAGCTCACAGGAAGGACAGATAGTGCCCTGGACAGGGCCCCCACCCCACCCCCAAACTCAGGACTATGGCTGTCCTTGGACATAACACTAGGACATAGGTCAAACCCCAGGGAACAGGGCAGAGTGACCCAGAAAGATGGATGGCAGGGCCCTCAACCTTCACCTGGATACCTGGCAAGTAGAATCCAGAAGCCCACCCTCAAGATTCCAAGTCAGCAGTGCTGAGTGGGCCCGGGGATCTGCATTTAATACCACTGATAAACTACGCATATATCTGTGTATGCACCCTATGCATGTGCCAATCGTTTGAATAGCATCCCCCTCCCCTGGAATTAACGTCCACACAGAACCTTAGAATGTGACTTTCTTTGAAAGTAGTCTTTGCAGATGTAATTAGTTAAGGATCTCAAGCTGAAATCATATGAGATTTAGAGTGAACCCTAAATCCAGTGACTGGTGTCCTTATAAGACAGGAGACACACAGAGAATAAGCCATGTGAAGACAGGCAGGGACGGGAGCAATGTAGCCACAAGCCAAGGAGCTCCAGGAGACTCCAGAAGCTCGAAACAGGCAGGAAGGATCCTCCCCTAGTGTTAGGAGGGGACACCTGCAAACACCTCGATCTCAGACTTCTGGCCTCCAGAACTGTGAGGGAATCAGTTCTGGTTGTTTTAGGCTACCAAGTTTGTGGGAATTTGTTACGGCAGCCCTAGAGAACTACTACCGTGTATCTGTGCTTTATATATAAAAATGTGATTTTTTTATGTGCCCCCTTTCCCCAAAGAACCAACTCACAACCCCTTGAAGGTGATACCGCCCCTGTGAAAATGCTTTTGAGTCTTATCAACAGCGGAGTAACTCTTGAACAAGCCCAGGGAAACCTCCAGGGTTTAGGAAGTAAGCAGTTGAGGTATATCCAAATCTAAAACGTTTAATGCTTTTGGTTGGAGCAAATGATCAGGCAAACAAGGAACATCATGTTTTACTGGTTGAAATAGAGTGTGTGGAACAGAATTGTAGTATTCTCGTCGAACAATTTGTTTTACAGGCAGAGCAATTCCGGAGTGCAGGATGGGGGATAAAAGTTCTCAGAATCCCCGTATTTCAGCCTGTAGAGAGAACATTCTCTAGCTAGTTGGAGGAAATACCACTCTGAATGATGCTCTTCCAGATTAGTGGATTTGCTCAGAAAATGCAAGCAGTTTCTAAAAGGGAAAGTAAGAGGGAAATTATATCCTGACACCCACTTTCCTCTGGATGCTCATGGTGCTGAGCCTTCTGTTCTATGAGAAACAGTGACAGGCGGGCATCCTCAGGAAGGAGTCTGGAGTGTTTGGTTGAGAAGCCTTAAGTCATCAGGATAACCTCTGACGTTTATCATGTGCTTTCTGTGTGTTGGGCACTGGGGTTGTGGACTCTACAGCTGCTCTCACTCGTCCCACGACAACCCAGTGAATGAGGTAGGCACATCCCCATTTTACAGATGAGGAAACTGAGGCACAGGGGAGTTAAGTCACCTGCTGGAGGTTACACAGCTAGTGAAAAGGCGGCTGGGGTTTGAACCCCGCCCCGTCTAAATTCTAAGACCCAACCTCCTAAACACAGTGCATGGGCAGGATCCTTTTGCGTGTGGGTTGTTTCTGTTCTGGTCACAACAGGTTAATGAACAAGAGGGAGAAAAAAACCAAGCCAAGGAGCTTCCAACCCTGGGGTCTAGGGAAATACAGAAGCCAGGAACTTGGCAGCCCTTCCTCGGATTTTTAATTTCACACCTCCCAAAGGTAGGAAAGACCTATTGATTGATGAAGCTCCAGCTTGGACCCCAGAAACCTCCAGCAAGGGAAGGGGGGACTGCGGCAGATGCCACCATGGCTGTTTGCTGTTTCTGTGACCCAGCTTCTCTTGTCCTGGGGTGATCTGCTTTCTCCTATCCCACTGCTGCTTCTGGAGGAAATGGCAATCACAGGACCCACAGCCCCTTGGCCAGTGCATCTGTAGGAACGAGCACACTACTCAACAGGGCCAGCCAGAGTATTCTGTGGGATCTGATACGGAAAGAGAATTCTCTCAACCTTAGAGATTGTGAGCCCTATGGTTGTAGGCTTGGGGCTGCTGACAGACACCTTTCCCACGAGGTGGAGGAGAGGATGAGACCAGTGTGAGAAGAGATACAGAGCTAGGAGGCCTGGGTGAGGTTGAGAGGATGAGCACATGAGCCTGAGGACACTGTGCTCCTGGATCCAGCCATACCTGCAGCAAGCAAGCCCTTAGCCATCCCAGTTACAGGACCCAGTTACAATTCCCTTTGTTGCTTAAGCCAGTTTGAGCTGGAGTTTTCCCAAGGGAGAAAGAATGAGCTTTCAAGGGGAGAACTGAGGCCTGAAGCTCATCCCTTTTGTCCAGGCTGGACTGTTCACAGCAGATCCAGGTTCCAGTTGTCAAGCCATGTAGAACCCCAAGTCAAGGAAAGGTTTCTCCATCCTTCCCTGGTGCTAGTCCTAGATAATTAACATGTGGGGAGTGCCAGGGCAGCTTACCCCAGAATGCTTCTAGGGCACACCTGGGTTTTAGAGGCAAGCTAGAAACTCATCTAAAGACTGGTGAAAATATCTCAGATTCCTCAGTGATAAATGTCCAGTGACATGGGAGCAATTAGCTTTGAGAATGTTTTCAGTCTCCCCCTACCTCTCTCCCTCATGTGCACACACACCTTGATGCAGGATGCAGTTTTGGATTTTGTTCCTATACCTGAGGAGCAAACAGAGATGGATGAGACTCCCTCCCTGCAGGGAGAAGGATGTCTCTGAGAAGGTATCTCCTTCCCTCTGCTCTAGGTTTGGAGGTGAGGTTGGTGTGCAAGGAAGTCCTTGCTTTCCTTGCTCCATCATGCCGAGACTGCATGGAAGCATGAACCCCATGGCTGTAAGCCTAGCCCTTGGGCAAGACGCAGTGACTCTGAGTGTTGACCAGAGATGACCCCCAGCTGTAAGCAAGACTATGAGAGAATAGTCTGTCAATACTGAAGCTGGTTCCAGGGGTCAGATTTGCCCTAGGGTGGACAAAACAAAGTCACAACCTCCTCCTCCCCATAGGGGAGTCCTGATGCCATGTTGAGATCCTGGATCCAGCCTTACCTGAAGCAAGAACTCCTGGACTGGCCAGTTGCATGTGATGATGACTGGTTACCCTTTTGTGTGGGTCTCTGTGACTTACAACCAAAAAAAAGTCATAATTAAACAGCTCCAAGGTGGGGGGCGGTGGGAGGAAGGACCTCCAGAGGAGTTTAAAGACAGACAGAGCCACTTCATCACTGCCTGGGCCTCTCCACCCTCCTCAAGTCGGTGGTGGTCAGGTTGACTTCCTAGCCAAGTGCTGGGACAATGGATTTCAGGTCCAGGTGGGCTGCTCCCCACAGGAAGTGGAGCCTGTAACTCATATAACTGCTCACCATGCATGTCTTGGGACACAGGGCATTGCTATGGAATCTGATGCAAAAACGGTCATTTCTGCCTACCCAGCGTCCTTTCCCTCTTGTGGGGTACCCCAGTATTCCTAGAGGCAACCTGCTTATGCTTTTTAAACCAGGTGGTTGGCTTCAGGAACAGGCATGTGGTCCAGGTGGACCAATCACTGAAACCCCATCCCCATCCCCATATGGTGATTGGTCCAGATTGGACACAGGACCCTGCTGCTGGCCAATCAGTGTTCTCTTCCCTGGGAACTGTGATTGGTTCAGGGACCAGTGTGGGACCCAGGCAGGCTGATTAAACTCCGTTCTGGGAGCTTGGATGGAACTTTGGGAGACAGAGGTTCTCTTCCGCTGAGCCTAATGGTGATGGGGTCCCCTGCGTGGGGAGGGCACCTGAGAAGGAGGCTGTTCCAGCGAAAGAAGAGCCAGAGGTGGAGGGGATGCTGAGCCTGATGACATCCCTGAGCTCCCAGACCAGGCCGACCCAAAGGTGGCCCACCCACTCCTTGGTTTTCCTTATGTGAAGTGCAAAGGAGATCGTTCTGTCTTTGCATCCTCGAGAGTGCACGAGCTGGATCATTGCCATTGGCTCCGGATGCCCCAACTTAGTGTCCAGACACAGGGCTGCAACCCACATAGTCCCAGACCCCGTGGACACTTGCAGACATGGGAGGCAAGCGGGCTGCCCCACAGGGCTCAGTCCCAGCTATCTGGAGACCAGGGGGCTGCTGTGGGACTGGCCAGAAGAGGAGGAGGTGGTGGTGCTGAGCTGGGAGAAGCCGCTGGTGCAGGATTCCAGGCTGGACATGGAGCCCCTGGGGAGGAAAGGCGTCGCACGCACATTACCTTCTGGTGGTGACACAGCCCTGGGGCCCACACAGCAGTGGAAAAGCTGGTGATGCTGCAAATGAGACCCCAGGGTTTTTTCCACAAGGCTGGTAACCACCCCAGGCACAGAGGGCAAGTGCAGAGGGAAAAGCAAGTGAAGTTACGGTAAGAAACGAGGCTCCACCCATTTTCCTGCCCACCGCCCCCCCCAACCCCGACAAAGATCCCAGCCTGCCACATACCATTCGGGGGCTTCCTTGACCTGGAGATCTAGCATGGCCCAGAGGGTGCCAGCACCGCCAAGCCTCCTGCAGCTCCTTAGAGCTGAAGACTCTCTGCTGCCCCAGAGCTCCAGTCTGCATTCTGACAACACCCCCCTAACCCCCACCACGTGATTTGTGTGCACACCACCTAGGTCTCAACTCCAATGTCACTTCCCAGGTACCTCCCCCATACCTCCTGCCCACCCTATGCCAGGCCCCTTGTCCTGTGCTGTGACAACACCCTGTGCTGAGACCTCTGGCACCTCCTAGCTGTGTGACCCTGGGCAAGGACCCCAGATTGGAGTACCTTCGTGGCATCCACTGCTGTTCATAATTACGTACAGGTGTGATCATGTGGCCTCCTGCTCCATGATGGCAGACCCTGTGTGTCTGGTCCCCCAGGGTCCGCCCAATGCGTGCCTACTGAGGACAGCCAGGGACTAGCCCTTGACCTGGTTCTCTGTGAGCTCTTGAAGCTCAGGGCAGCAAGGTTCCCCCACATGGACCAGACCAGACAGGCTGGCAAGCAGCATCTGGCCCACCCTTCAGCCTCCACCTGCCCTCCTGGAGGCAGCAGCCCCCAGGTGCTAGTGTCTACAATGTCTGTCCCCTGCACTGGCGCCCAGTGGCCAAAACAAGCTGCTTCCCAAAGAGGAAATCACCAGCCCTCCCATGCTGTGGGGCTCTCTTTGGAGTAAAGACACTGGCCCAGTATCTCTCACATTGGGCTGCATGTGCCCTTAGGGTACTTGGAGCTCCACCTGGCATATGGATGCAGATGCGACACCCTCCTGGAGCCTCAATTTGACTCCATGGTAAAGAATATAAAGCATTATTTTTAGAAGGAAACTAACAGAGGGGCGCCTGGGTGGCTCAGCTGGTTAAGTGTCCAACTCTGGATCTCAGCTCAGGTCTTGATCTCACGGTCATGAGTTCAAGCCCCATGTTGGCCTCCACGCTGGGCGTGGAGCCTACTTAAAAAAGAAAAACGGAAACTAACAGAGATACGTCATGAAGCAGGATGCAAAATCACATTTGTTTTTAAAAGATAAAATGTAAAGCCTTGAAGACACTGCCTGCTCCATCTCCTCACCCTCTGCTTCATTTTTGCTATCAAGTGCTTACTGTATGCCTTAGTGAAGAGCAGGCTTCCCCCAACCATTTCTTCCTGATGACAACCCTGTGATGTAGGGGTTTCAGCAGTCCCTATTTAACAGATGGGGAGGCTAAGGCTCAGACACTTAAGTGGCTTACCTGAGGTCACACAGCAACCAGAGAGTGCTGGAGGTCTTAACCACTACACTTCCTGCCTCTCTGAAAGCAACACTTGGGGAGATGTGTCTGCGAGACACTATTCTAGAATGTTCTAGAACAGCCCAACCCTGTTTTATGGGTTTCTAGGAGTGAGAGGAGTGAGAGTGGGCTCCCCTTCCCCCAGCAATCAATCTGGTATGTTGGGCTTCTGTCCAGAGTTTCATTTGAAGGGGAGGTTCTGCAGCTGAAGCAGCATTTGGACACAGTGTTGGATCTGATTGCTCACACAGGTGCTGAACCACTGGAGAATTTTAACAATACCAATGCTGGGGCCCCACCCCTGGATAAGCTCAAAGGCAAGTAGGGAAGATGAATCCAGTGTCCCCCAGCCCAGAAGGAAGGGGCCTCAGAAGCGCTGTGGGCCTGGCCTGGAGAGGAGGAGGGGGCCCTTCCTGCCCAGGTTCCCTACTCCAGCCCCTCCTACCTGAAGTCCTCAGACGCCAGCACCTCGTAGTAGTAGAGGAGTTTGCACTTGGGGCCAGGGCTGTGCAGGGCCGTCAGGACGTCCTCCACACCCGGGAGGCTGCAGGCCACATTGCCAGGGGGGCTGTGCATTTGCCACTGGAGCAAGTAGATGCCAGGCCACCGGGTCACATGGGAGCCCTGAAACACAGCAGTCCTGCCTGAGGCTCTGGCCCGCCTGGGGACGGACGGGAACCCCTTGCTAAACCAGCACACCCATAAATCTTCCTCGCAGGGCCTCCGGAAGTCACCCTTGACCCCTCCGCTGTTACCCCATATCTGTGGGGGCTGAGAGCCTCCCTCTGATCTGGTGGGAGTGGAGGCCTGGGGTGGGGCTGTGGTTGCAGGAGAACAGGTAGAGTTGGTTAAACGCCTGGATTTTGTTGGGCTTTTGTTGTGCTGCCCCAGGAGGGATTTGGGCAGAGAGCTGGCAGGTTGGTTAGAGTTGGTGGAAGGCCTGGGCGGTGAGAATGGAGGTGTTAGTTGTTACAAGAGCAAGTTCAGGGAGGGCTAGGGGTGCTGGTGTTTGAGGTACAAGACAGCCTGCTGCTCAGGGACCCTGGGTGAGATCCGCTGTGCTCACTGGAGTCTGTTTGTGCAGTGTGAGTGAATGAGTGGGGCTGGTGATCTAACACTTGTGAGCCGTGGCCTGGAGGAGCATGTGAGTAACAGGGGAGTTCATGTTCCAAGATGCATCTGAGTTCTGTCCCCAGACTTAAAGCATCTCTGCTGCATAGGTTCTGAAACTAACACATCAGAAATCACTGGGAGAGGGTGAGGGATGCAGAGTCCAGGCCTCGTGCCCAGAGGTTCTGAGTTACGCCCCTGGCATGGGGCCTGGCAGTCTGCATCTTTGACAAGAGTCCCAGAGGATTCTGAGGCTGGGATCCTGGGGTCCCCAGAGTTCTGGATCTGTCCAGTCCTTTCTCCCTGAGTGTCCTACAGGGTCCCTGAGGTCAAGGGCCAGAACCCTGGCACACAGTGAACATTCAGTCCTGTATTATGAATGAATAAATGAACAAAGGAGTTCGAACCTGGATGCTCTCCCCTTCCCGGCAGACAAGAGGGGCTTCGACACGGCTATAATCCACACCTAGGACCCAGCCTTTGTCCATCAGCTGCCCGCCAGCCCTGGCCCCGGGCTCCTGGGGGCCAAGCTTGGGCATCTGCTTGCTGTGGTACAGGCTGAACACCACATCCCCTCTCAGGATGTCAAAGTCCCAGGTGATGACTGACTCCCCCTCCAGGATCTCCACTGCAACCTGCATGGGGGGTGGGGGGGGAGGGGAAGGCATAGTCTGAGAGTCCCATCTGGAATCCCACCAGGAGCGGGGAGCTGGGATGGGGAGGTCAGCTGCAGTAGGTGCTGTGGGGTACCCACCTGGATCTCCAGTCCCCACTGCAGGGAGGATGGGCTGCTGAGGCCCCCAGCCTCCACTGTCTAAGAACTGCTCTGGGCAAATGGACCTGCCTCTGTCTGAAATGGCTGGGAGGTCCCACCCTGTCACAGGGTGGGTGACCCACAGCCGAGGACTGACATGAGAGTACAAAAGACCTGCCCATCTGTCATGCTCTGCACAGCCCAGTGCTCCCCTCAGATCAGGCTGGGCAAGACTCGGCTGTATCGCCCCTGTGCTTACATCCATCCCCACACCGACCCTGTCCCACCTCTCCTTACAGGTTTCTCCCAAGAGCTCACCCTCAACAAATCACTGGCACAAGAACCCTCATCTCAGGCTCTGCTTCAGGGGACCCTGGCCTAAGATAACACCCCATCCCAGCGGGCCCTCCCAGGCCAGGTCCCAGCACCTCATGGGGGGCCCCTCGGAGCACGCTGGCCGACTGGTAGGTCTCTCTCCACTGCTGCAGCTGGTCCGTGTGCCCCTGCTCCTCTTCTGTCAGATAGAGGGACTTGGGGACCAGCCCTCCTTCAGGGACATTGCACTGAGGGACAAAGACAAAGGTGGCAGGCCTGGCTGACCCACAGAAGGGTGCTCTGTGACCCCTGAAACTGCACTTGTCACAGCAACCCCTTAGTGAGTAGGGTGCAGGGCTTCCATTACCTCATTTACTCTCCAGAACCACGATGCAATAGAATCTATTATTCTTTCCTTCCGTTTCACAGAGGAGGAAAATGGAAGCTCAGAGAGGTCGGGCCACTTGCCCGAGATCACACAGCAGAAAGTGCTGAGCCTGGGCACAAACCCATGTTTATCAGGCCCCCCAGGCTCATGTCTCTTATTACCATGCTGGTCTTGGAAGCCCATTTGCTAAACATAAATCATGCATATGTATCTCAACAAGCGGAGAAATTGGGCAAGCTTGGCAAAATTCCTGGGAAATGCCTTTTTTAAATTCAGAAATCAAGTAAGCTTGGAGTTTGGTATTCTGTTAGAAAAGGGAGAGGGGCCTGCCCTCCCACAGCCAGATGAGATAAGACCGTCGTGACCCAGGGTCACCCCTTCCTGTGTCATCTCACCCCCAGGGGGAGGCAGTAGAAGGGGTCTGTGGTTGCCTCCCCTTGAAGCAGTTGGCCGATCTTCCCACTCCATGGGGTTGTGGGTTGGGAATAAATCCCTTTGGGTACACCAACTCCAGGGTCCAGACCAGTGGGATGTTTGAGTCACCTCTCCCAGAAGCAGAGGGTGCAAAGTCAGCAGGTAAACTCTGACTGCTGCCTAGCAACATACTGAGTGGGGAATACCAAGGTAAACCTTTGACTGGCCTGGTCTCTGGGCTTCCGGAAACTTCCATCTGGATCACTATGTTTGAAAGAAACAAGGTAAGGCCCCTCCTTTGGAGAGAACTCACCTCTCTTTGGGGCAGCTTCAAAAACAAGCCCTGCTCCCCCAAAAAGAGAAAGCATGACCTCTCCAGGTACCAGCACCCACACACACAACAGAGGGCCCCACTCCAGCCTCCTTGGACCTCTGCAGCCCTGCCCCAGCAATCTCTGGCTCCTCCCGCGGCCACAGCCCGGCCCTGCAGCCATACACTCACCACACACTCTCCCCCGAGGAAGTCAGGGATCACTTCTTTATCCAGGTAGTCCACAAGGCCTCCGGGGCCCTGGTAATTGCTACCGCTGTAGATGAGAAACTTCTGTCTGGTGTTCTCATTGATGAAGGGGCTGATCTGAAGTGGGGGAGAGGAGACAAGATGGAACGGTGTTTTTGTTTGTTTTATATGGAGATGTAATTCACATCACAAAAAATTAACCATTTTATCTTATTGGTTTTTTAAGTTTTTATGTATTTAAATAATCTCTGCACCCAATGTGGGGCTCGAACTCATGACCCTGAGATCAAGCATCACATGCTCTTCTGTTCTTTTTTTTTTCCAAGATTTTATTTATTTATTTGAGAAAGAGTGAGAAAGTGCAAGTGCACGACTAGGGGTGGGGAGGGTGGACAGAGGGAAAAGGAGAAGCAGACTCCCCAGTGAGCAGGGAGCCCGACACAGGGTTCAATCCTAGGACCCCGAGATCATGACCCAAGCCGAAGTCAGACGCTCAACTGACTGAGCCACCGAGGAGCCCCAGTGTTGCATGCTCTTCTGATTGAGCCGGCCAGGTGCCCCAGAATTAACCATTTTAAAGTGAACAGTTTGATGGCTTTTAGTTCATTTACTATGTTGTATAACTACCACTTTCCTATAATTCCAAGACTTCTCATCACCCCAAAAGGAAACCCCATTCCTTTTACACATTCATACACATCAGCGGCTCCTCGCCATGCCCCTCGCCCAGCCCCTGGCAACCACCGATCTGCTTTCTGTCTCTATGGATTTGTCTGTTCTGGACACTTCATAGAAACAGAAGCACACGACATGTGGCCTTTTGTGTCTGGCTTCTCTCACTCAGCATCATGGTTTCCAGGTTCATCCATGTCGTAGTCCTTTTTATGGCTAAATAATATTCCACTGTATGGATGATCCTGTTTTGTTTACCCCAGATGGAAAGTATTTCAATGCTGAACTCAAAGCTGCATGTCGATCCATTGTTTTTCACGGCACACACACTCCCCCC